ACATCGGAGAGGGGTGTTTCGGAAAGTGGCGCCGATACTACTAAAATACCTGGATCATATCCCACAATGCACTAATTTAACCGGACAGTATCGTATGTGGTGGTTTATTTACGGTAACGCACCGTACGTGGGAGCAACGGTAACAAACCGTGTAGACATAACAGTGGATGGACTGTAATTGTAACGGTAATATTTTACAGTGTGAGTAAATTTAGTTTTCCACCAATTTTAGCAATATTCCAGCAATATCACGGCGGGGCCACCACAAATGGGCTTCACACATTGTACCCGTGTGGGGAATCGAACCCGGGTCATTAAGAGGTCAAATGTAAGGTATGGTATATTTGGGATTACACTTTCTCAGTAAAGTGCAGATTCTAGTACTTTTGTTGCTTGAGTCCCGTCCGGGCTTCGAACCCACTCTTCCAAAGTCAGGCTAATCGCCAACACACTAAGACAGCCGTCTCAACAACTTATAGTTTGGCATGATATGCATGTGGACCCGGTTTTTTGTAAATATCTCTTCATCCAATGACCCAATCGATCTCAAACTGTGCAAGTGGATGTTTTCTCAGACAACCTAATCACATTGTAAATCACCGATTTGATGCATTTGTATTAAAGAATCTGTCTATGTAACTGTCAACAAAATATACAGCAGAACGCAGACGGCTTGCAGAGGGAGGGAGCCAATGACCTGTAACAGCGGCAGTGTTGGGTCATAAAGGTCAACGTTTGTCAATGTAGGTCAGCTATGCACGTGACAGGTCTGAAGAGGTGTCACAGGTCGTGAATAGGGTAAGGTGGGTGCCAACTGTTAACCATCATACGGAGTTTGTTTCTCTGAGTTGTTCAACATTAACCACAAAACCCATTAGTGAGAATTAGTTTGTTTCTCTGAGTTGTTCAACATTAACCACAAAACCCATTAGTGAGAATTATTCTGTAGGTTAAAATCTTTGAATTTGTAATGTTAATGTCATATTTTGTTTATGCAGTACCTAAGTGGAAATGCATTTAAAGAACACAGAAAGTATATTTACACTAAATCATTAATCGGACCACCTATGGTTAGAACTCAACAACTGTTAAAGCCCCGTTCCCTCGGACACAAGCACACACAATCATGCACACTCATTGAAGAAAAGATAGAATGAAGACAAAAGTGTTATGTTTTGATGTCGTTCACATTCCAAATTAAGCAATGCATTTCTAATAGCTTTAAGCATATAGATAGTTAATATTTATATCTTCATGATAATTTTATGTGAAATGAGTGTTTCATGTTACACTGTAAGTCGTTGGAATTAGTCAGTGCTGTCATTGTTAAAAGAAGTTACATTTCTTTGAGCATATCTGGCTGGATACTATTATTATCTGTAAATATAATACAGAATTAAACTTCATCAAGTTCACTCCATTCTTCCACAGAGGAGTCATCAGTGTCCAGACGAAAGACAACTGGATTAACTGTTTGCTCCTTCAAGCCATCTTTGAGCCAGTACTCTTTCTCCACATTCTTGACATGTTCAACACATGCATGCCAGCGTGCAATGTCAATGTCACATATAGCAGTGTTGACAATGTGCTTGACATCATTCAACTTGAATGATTTATTTTTCCGGGCCACTGTACTTTTAAGGTCTCCCCAGATAAGTTCGATTGGGTTGAGATCACAGTGGTACGGTGGTAATCTCAAGACCTTATGGCCGTGTTGGCGTAGCATGTTGTCAATGTTATATGTGGGTGGAGGTTTGTTAGGTTTAATCAAAGAGTACAACTGTGGTTTAGTGGCCTTAATTGAAAATTGTATATTGTTATTTGTTAGCCATTGCTGCATATCTGACTTCTTTGTATTGGAAGTTGGGCACCTACTGTTTGGATCTCGAACACTGTGATAGGGAGCATTGTCCATGACAACAAGACTTTTGTAAGGCAGAGTTGGCAACAATTGTTCCTGAACATACTGTGTGAAAACCGTTGAGTTCATTTCTGTATGATAGTCCCTACCATCTGTGCTCTTTGACCGAAATACCAGATCACACCCAGGTGGAATCCACGGTGGGAACCAGCATGAAGAACGAATAAACGTTCACCTTTGCCTGTTGGTATTTTCCTACCATCACTGGGATCATTGGGTAGCCACTGTCTGGCAGCAGTATGGTTTGCATTGACCCAGGTCTCATCCTCTCTTGCCTGCTTAATTTCTCTCAGATAGTTACACCTTATTTTCACAATATCAGATCTCTCACACATTACAAGTTTCTGGTTTGCTACCTTCTTGTACTTGTATCCAAATTTGAGCAGAAGTTTGCTTAGCATAAACCTAGAAACATTAATGTCGTAATGTGTTTTAACTTTCTTGTGGACAGGTGTTCATTTCTAGCAAATAGCCGGCGAATGACATCTCTGATGACCCTGATGTCAAAAGAATCTAACTTTGGATGCCTACCTTTTTGTACAAGGTATTGTTTATTGGTTGTTGGTTTATTTTTCACAATTTTTAGCACGATGTTCTTTTTCATGCCAAGAGCAAAAGTTGTACGTTTCATGTAATCCGACACCTTATCAATCGGTTTGCTACGTTTGCTCTCTTTTAATAAAAATTCAACACATTTGTAATTAAACGTTTAGCATCATCTGAATAAGCTTTCATGATGACAGCTAGAAGTAGTCAATGTGAATGATCCAAACGGTCTATCACTGTGCAGTGCACAGGTAACTATCATGAACTGCACGTGCATTTACCTTTATGACCCAACACTGCCGCTGTTACAGGTCATTGGCTCCCTCCCTCTGCAAGCCGTCTGCGTTCTGTTGTTTATTTTGTTGACAGTTACATAGACAGATTCTTTAATACAAATGCATCAAATCGGTGATTTACAATGTGATTAGGTTGTCTGAGAAAACATCCACTTGCACAGTTTGAGATCGATTGGGTCATTGGATGAAGAGATATTTACAAAAAACCGGGTCCACATGCATTTCATGCCAAACTATTTTTATAGCCTCCGCGGCTTTCTGAAAAAGTCGGACAACCGGTAGTCTAGTGCACCTAGGTGCCATTGCACGCACTCGGCTTCCCCCTGCACGTGTCTGCTGCGTGGTCACACTTGGCAGATTTTAAAGCCTTGAAACTCTTTTTAATTTACTTAAATAATTGCTATGACGTCAGAAACGAGTCACGGTGTGTGATAAATGCCGGTAAGGTCAGTTCATGTCTTAACGTATCTGGGCCTACACGCTGTCAACTCGCTCTTGAGCTTAAAACGTCCTATAAAACACCACAGCAAAGGTGGTTGAAAAATGATGACGTGTTTACTGTTTGTAACGCCCATTGGGACTGATGCTTATTGTAAATTTTCTCAAGGTTTGACATTTTAGCCGCTTCGTGTACATCCCTTTTGACATGACAATGACAGGATATCTGATGCAGGTATGGATGACATGCAAGCAATGTATTCAGCCTCTTTAAAGTGAGAACACGTTTTTTGTGCTAATAGCAGGTGCTTTACCAAATAAACTGGCTCCGAGATCGAAAATCACTTGTAGCGAAATCCCCATTGTAGGTTCATATGGTTTAAGGATTATTTAGAGCCTTATCAAACCGTTGGTATACTTTCTCCACGCATTCGGTCTCAAAAAGTGTTAACCTGGTCAGATGTGACGTCACGTCAAATGGCGTTGTTGTGTACAATCTTAGAGAAAACAATGAACAGGAAAACCCCTCCGTCAATTCATCAAACTTGAGCGCATTCAGCAAGCCTGCAAGTCTGTAAACGGTGCCTGAATGCTATCAGACAGTCGACCCTTGTACCAGGAGACTACAATGGCCAATCCCACGGGCTGTAAAAACATCGGCAGCAACGTCACCAATAAATTCGGTAATCAGGACAAGGAATAATCCGACTGGAAAATAGTTACTTGCAAAATGCGTAAGTGAGTGAGTGAGTGCCTAGAGTTTTACGCCGCTTTTAGCAATATTCCAGCAATATCACGGCGGGGGACACCAGAATTGTGAGTTGGATTCAATGCCTGACGGGTTGTATGTCCCAGGCGTCCACCACTGGGGATGTCAAACCTAAATAATCGAGGTGGACCGGGATTCGAACCCATACACGATGATAGATTTCTAGTTTTTCCAGGGGACATAACTCTGCACAGGGAATTAGGACGCCTTCGAAGACTGGGTTTGGTTTTATGTTTAATGCAATATCGGAAAACGATAATCTTAGGGGTTAGCTGGCTAGATTGTAGAGTGATTACATGGCTAGTAATAATTATATGTTACAGGGGAATGTTGGAGCGGAATTGGTTTGAAAATACAACGAAACCGATCTCTGTGTTTGCGATTTAATTTTACCTTGTAAGATCTCAGAAATCCACTCACGAAATCTTAATTAAGTAATTAAATAACTGTTAAATGTACGCAACCTGTACATAAAATGCGGATAACATTGAGAACCTAAAGAATAATACCAAGAAATGATAACAGAGAAAGCATTTGATAAAAAATGGACGTTCATTGTTTGACGAAAGTTGTTGTTGTCAAACATACCCCCGTACACACAAAAATTTACAAGTGTCGTTTTTTTCTATCATCACGGTATGTTGCATCCATTAGCTGCGCTACCGGCTTTAGATCGCCGTCTTATTGAGTTTACATGAACTTGGAAAAAGGCTTGAGGCCACGGTACCACAGGAATGTCCATGGAGACTGATGTATGGGGACGAGCGGTATCTTGCTGGAAGGCTTGGGGTTAGGTTGACCCAGGGAGAGTGGTCTGACATGGTGACAAAGTACATAATCCCTGTCACATGCACACGGAACACGTGTATAGCGGTCCTCTGATTATAACGGCAACCTCCCCTTACCACGGTCCTCCTCATCGGTCAGCTGTTAAGACACGGGAGCGTAACGTTCTTTATGTCATGTCGTCGAGAACGGTTGTGACCCTTCGTCTGAAAAGGACGTCTTGTTGGCCTGTTGACGTTGCCGACGCAGCTGCCCACTACAGACGTTGATGCTGGTGATGCTGAGACAGTAGTGGCCACGTACGGAGGTAAGGACGACGACATCGAATTCCTGCCGACGACGAACAGTGGCATCTACCAAATGATGACGTTCACCTTGGGGTGAGTGAGTATGGTTTTACGCCGCTTTCAGCAATATTCCAGCAATATCACGGCGGGGGACACCAGAAATGGGCTTCACAAATTGTACCCATGTGGGGACTCGAACCCGGGTCTTTGGCGTGACGAGCGAACGCTTTAACCACTAGGCTACCCCACCCTCCCGTTCACCTTTTATGGTTGTAGGTGTCTATGTTACGTATGTCTGACGGTCTCGTAGATGTGCCCCCACCCGGGGTCACGGCCCCGCGCTGGAGTAATGACCCTTGTATGTCCAGCACCAGGCCGGTCTTGGACAGTGCCAGTCTGTTGATGCCTTGCAACCAATCTCGTCATAGTAGACACAGGACATCGGGAGTATCTCTACACTGCTGCTGATGTTGATCCGGCCTGTACCATCCCAGTGACAACGCCCCTCTGAAGTTCGGTTAGTCCTACCATGTTTCCTGTCCTTTTCAACCGCCTCCGTGGTGTAGTGGTTAGAGCGTCCGCCCGGAGACGTTAAAATATGGTACTTGTTGGTCCCTGCCAGGCGCTCGGCATTAATGGGTACAACAAGGACTGGTCGGCTCGGAGTCAGTATAATGTGTCTGAGTGGGGTATTCATGCTTCACTGCGGCATGGTATCTCAGTGGGCTAGTACTATAAAACCAGCTTAAGTCTGGGCTAGTACATGCATCCGCACATACACATGCATGCACGTCGGCTTATGAGCGAAATATTCTCAAGCACGACGTTAAACCCAATTTCACCTCACCTGTCCTTTTCAAATATCGCAGGTGAAATGCTTGATGCTTGTTCACGAAGGAAGCAGTGACCAGTACTTCTGCAATGCATTTCTATGTATGCAACTCGTGTGTATGCAACTGTTTACGCTGTCTTGTCTTTTGTTGAAGCGTTTTAAGTATATTTTCAGTTAAAATTACATGTGCATGATAATGAGACTGTCATTGCGATAATTCAAAGTACAAATATGGTCATTTTATATTAAACGTCACTTGATGCATACAATGCCTGCTTGGTCGCAACTGACTTAAGAGACTCGTGGGGAATTTAGTTATTAAAGCGTTGGTTCGTTGGCGCGTTGTTTTAATATGGCGGAACGCGGTGTATGTATAAAAACATATTGTTACAACTTTAAATACTAACGGCATCGCTCACTTGGTTGATGCATTTCATCGTATCTTTTTATCCTCGATCGGACTTCGTGCTGTCAATTACATACTGTCATATAGAGGCGATAACGTACAGGCCGCAGTCATTTAGCTGGAATATTACCGCGTGGCGTGTGAAATAATTGCATGCACACACGCACACTCACATGCATACTCAAACACTGTTTGGGGTTTTATCTAATGCACAGCTGGGATGGACTTGATAGGGTCCATGTGCACTCACATCTACCGTTATATCTAATCCTTAGTCAACAAGCAAGGGTTTCGAAATGTACGAGGCAACGTCCACGTGTGCAGATTGCCAGGTGTATCCCGTTTGTTTTATCAGAGTTAAAATACAGTATCTATTTCCCAGGTGTATATGACACCCTAAAGCAAACCGTATCTCCTCACTTGACATGACTCTCGGACACAGACTTATCATGTACTTAAAACGTTTTCCATACCACCGGTGTGCTACCTTTGTACTATTTGGTGGCTGATGTCGATATTACTGGGTTAAAGTCACTTGCGACCGGGGTACCCACATGCTTGCCGGCATGTAGCTCGGCACACGTGGTGTTACTTTTTGACCCACGATACAGGACATCCAGAATGTTCCTTGAACTTGTCTATATATTGGACAGAGAGGACAATGTCGCAAGTATCTACTTTATGTACAAACTAAATATAACCAGATAACGTATCCATACATTATCTGATTCATTGTTTTTAACACAGATATAGAACTCTCCACTCGTGCTGCAATATCAAAATTAGGATAAATGATCAACTTACTTTAACTTGTGTACGCCATGGCCCCAAAGCAACGTTAGTTATCCTGGCCTACATAGTTATTTAGACATTACTTTACAGTTTCATTGTTGCTTTGTATGATTTATCGGTTGTACTCTCACTCGTCCACTTCTAGAATTCCATGGTAGCACTAATACAATGACAGTATAAATTAGTAACTGGCTACTGGTAATAGCAACACAGTCTACGATCGTAATATTCAATTGAGGCAACATTAGTCAAGCTTTTGTAATAGTCCCTTGATATGCAGTGAAAGCATTTCATCTTTACAGTACCACTGGACTTATTGTAACACGAGGTGGGAGAGGCATGCGCTTATCCACTCTTATGGTCTCAATCAATACCTTCTAGAACGTTCTATACTTTAATGGGTTAGATTATAGCTTCGGGAAGGTTCCAGATTACACTTGACTCAAGATGCATGAAAATATGACAACTTCAACAACACTGCTTGCATAAGACAGAAGACTAAATATTGTTACACAATGTTGTCTAGTTCTACTGAAAATCAGTGTCACATAGTCTGTATGTATCTATGTGGAATCAGTGGTACATAGTCTATGCATATCTACGTGGAATCAGTGGTACATAGTCTCTGCGTATCTATGTGGAATCGGTGGTACATAGTCTGTGCGTATCTATGTGGAATCAGTGGTACATAGTCTGTGCATATCTACGTGGAATCAGTGGTACATAGTCTGTGCATATCTACGTGGAATCAGTGGTACATAGTCTGTGCGTATCTATGTGGAATCAGTGGTACATAGTCTGTATGTATCTATGTGGAATCAGTGGTACATAGTCTGTGCGTATCTACGTGGATTCAGTGGTACATAGTCTGTGCATATCTACGTGGAATCAGTGGTACATAGTCTGTGCGTATCTACGTGGATTCAGTGGTACATAGTCTATGTATTTACGTGCATATCTGTGCATATCTACGTGGAATCAGTGGTACATAGTCTGTGCATATCTACGTGGAATCAGTGGTACATGGTCTGTGCATATCTACGTGGAATCAGTGGTACATAGTCTGTGCGTATCTATGTGGAATCAGTGGTACATAGTCTGTGCATATCTACGTGGAATCAGTGGTACATAGTCTGTGGTATCTACGTGGAATCAGTGGTACATAGTCTGTGCATATCTACGTGGAATCAGTGGTACATAGTCTGTGCATATCTACGTGGAATCAGTGGTACATAGTCTGTGCGTATCTATGTGGAATCAGTGGTACATAGTCTGTGCGTATCTATGTGGAATCGGTGGTACATAGTCTGTGCGTATCTACGTGGAATCAGTGGTACATAGTCTGTACGTACGTATCTACGTGGACTGACTGACTGAGTTTGGTTTTACGCCGCTTTTAGCAATATTCCAGCAACATCACGTCGGGGGACACCCGAAATGGGCTTCACACATTGTGCCCATGTGGGGATGTATCTATGTGGAATCAGTGGTACATAGCCTGTGCGTATCCACGTGGAATCAGTGGTACATAGTCTGTACGTACGTATCTACGTGGAAGCAGTGGTACATAATCTGTACGTATCAACGTGGAATCAATGGTACATAGTCTGTGTGTATCTACGTGGAATCAGTGGTATATAGTCTGTACATATCTACGTGGAATCAGTGGTACATAGTCTGTGCGTATCTACGTGGAATCAGTGGTACATAGTCTGTACGTATCTACGTGGAATCAGTGGTACATAATTTGTACGTATCTACGTGGAATCAGTGGTACATTGTACGTATCTACATGGAACATACACGGATGTTAAGGTAGACGTCTGAAAATACTATCAAACACATGTCAAGTAACGAGTATACGTGTCGCTACACACATCGTTGGGATGCTGTCTCTCTGATGTCACAGACAGGTCAACCTCTCTGTGATTCACCGTTAGCTATCTACATCTGTCTGCTACCTTATCACAAGATAATTACTCAATTGATTACAAGGGCACACCTGTGCCATTTCATCTAGGTATTGTGTAGTTTGATATACGATGTATAGATAACATGTGTTGTAAACAACATCACTTTGATAACTTTGCCCCACGACGAGCATTGGTTGCCAAAGACCAATTCTAACCCGGATCTTCGCGGGTTGTGATCTTCTGGGAATAGTAACCTTAAACGCTCTCAATCAACACACTACCATTTGGTTATAGGTGCATATCTCAACTCCAAACTGATAAGGGGCAGAACTTCATAACGCATGACGGATTTTGAAGGGCTATTGGTACTTATGGCAGATACTAGAAACTAACTAAAACTGTAACTGTCACTTGGAAATCTGTATCATAATGCTTGGATAAGTGAGTGTGCTGCGGACGGATCTGAGGCTCCTTTCACGCAGCAACAGTTACTTAGGTTAACCTTAACTCTCATTCTTTAACATTGCACTAAGGTTACCTTAGTGACTTACGATCACCTTAGTGCTTTGTGAAAGGAGGCCCTAAACAGTATTTAGCTGAATCACAACCTGACACCATGGAGTGGAAGTATATAGAGACTCCAACCACTGTAGTGGAACCCCTGTGTTACTCACAAACCAAACTCCATAGTTGGGGATTGGAACCCATGATCGAGTCATGTCACAGAACAATTCACAGATGTGCGTTACCAAAATGAAAGCAATTGTCGTTTGAAGTTTACCGAAAAAACAATGTGTGAAATGCTGGACTTTCTCATTGATAACATCTTCGTGACATTTGGGGGTAAAACATTTCGCCAAGAAGCAGGCATCCCCAATGGCACCAATTGTGCTCCCCTCCTTGCGGATCTGTTTTTTGTGCATATGAATCAAAACAAAATAATTAGGCCAAGAAGTTTAACTTAAGCTTCCGGTACACAGATGATATAATATCGTTCAATAACCATCAAACAGCCAATTGTCTTCCACTGATTAACTCACCTGAACTCGAAATTATGGATACAAGTGAGACCGCTTCAAGTGTTTCATATTTAGATCTATGCATAAAGATTCAGTGTGACAAAAAACTTTCTTCAAAGCTGTATGACTTCCCTTTCATGTCGAGCAATATTCCAACAGCTCTAGTCTTTGGTGTTTACATTTCACAACGTTTGAGGTACAAGGGTGCTCTTTTTATCAGGATTTCAAAGAGCGTCATGCCACTCTTGCTCAAAAGTTGTTTGATCAAGGTTAAAACATTCAAGGTCTCAGTAAAGCTTTCAAGAAGCTATATGGTAGACATGTTGAGGAAATGCCCAAACTTGATGCATCAGTGACAAAAAATGATGTCCAATACAAATCCCTTCTTTGACTTATACCATCCGTTCCCGAATTGTTTCAGGTGAACGATTAGCTGGACTTACCATATGTTTATGACGGGTGCCACCGGTGGGACAGGATACGCCCAGGTTTTCGCGGACATCTGGCTGCTGGATCTGTTAGAATATTTATGGAAACAAGGATTCAGTTTTAGACTCCGTGCCTAGTGTACAAGTCACACCATGGCTCCATCATACCTGCCCAGACTGCTCCAACACTACAAACCAGTTACATCACTTCGCTCACAAGCCCAATGTCGTCGTACAGCTCCTAATTTCATGTTGGTCCCTGCCTGGCGCTCGGCATTAATGGGTACAACAAGGACTGGTCGGCTCGGAGTCAGTATAATGTGTCTGAGTGGGGTATTCATGCTTCACTGCCGACGTTTCAAGGCCGACCACTCAAGAGGCCTAGTCTACAGTCAACATTGAACTTTCAACAGCTGTCAACAAATCTCAATCAGGATATCAACAAGGATCAAGACTTTGGTTACTACAGATAATGTGACCCAATCGTATGAAATTAGAATCTGTACTGTCATTCATTGTAACCTTGTCTATCTTTTATCTAATATATTATTGAATATTACAGACTCGTTTGTGTTTTAATTTTGCTGGTTTAAAGGAGACTCACAAGCCTTTTATCACCGTAATTTCTAAACCGCACCACTATCTTATGATCTTTAATTTCTCTGCTCTTTAAGCATGCACTTGGTGTATGGAATTTAACGCTATAGGGCTACACATAATCATTATCATCATCATCATCATCATCATCATCATCACTATTTCATAGTGATTCATAAACACATGCTCTGTCATCGTGTTGCATGGTGACATTCACTGGATTGTCTGGTCCTACAAACAACATTGTGCAGGTGTAATACAGCTGAAACCAATATATAGTCATGATACAATCACAAGTGTACAATCGACATTGCTTTTAGCACAGATGTCTTATGGATGTGGAAAGGGTTTTGTCGCTTATATCTATATGTAACAGGCATTCATGTAATTAAGTGTATCACCCATTGCTTCAGTTATAGGCAACAATAATTATTTGTAGGATGCTAGATCTTATCAAAGGATGTGTGGAATACATCCTTTGAGACATCGTGAGAAATGCGTGAATTGGTCTTCAGCACGCCATGCGTATCAGGGTCGCTGACGTGGTTGACGCATGCCATTTTTTATCCTAGTTGCGACGATTCCTGTTCATGATGTCAAATGAGTGGATTGTCTCGTTCAGAATCGGATATTTACAGACCGTCGTTCAATAGTTGGAATATTGCAGAGTGCGGTTAAAAACAACAATTATCCGTTAATATGAAGACAACGGAGTGTGACACTGTACATCAACACGTATCTACAAGACATGTACATGTACAATGCAATCCACAGTAAAGATGTACGATATAGACTGTGTGACGTACATTACAATCCACAGAAAAGATGTACGATCTAGACAACGAGACATGTACATTGCAATCCACAGTAAAGATGTACGATATAGACTCCAAGACATGTACATTACTATCCACAGTAAATATTAACGCTATAAACTGTGTCACATGTACATTACAATCCACAGTATTGAGGTACGATATAGGCTGTGTGACGTACATTGCAATCCACAGTAAAGATTTATGATACAGACTGTGTGACGTATATTACAATCCACAGTAAAGATGTACGATATAGACTCCAGGACATTTACATTACAATCCACAGTAAAGATGAACGATATAAACTGTGTCACATGTGTACCTTTTACAATGTACCAACTATACCTGATACTTTTACAACGGGTATACTTTCTTTCGTGTGTCAGTATAATCTATAGCTGTACCTAGCAGCCCACGTACACAGGACATGTGACATGACATAAATGCAAGGAAGGCATATTTGTAGGACATGCACATATTGTAGTTTTTCATATTATTCACGAACTCTGTATGCATAAAGTTTAGGTAAACAAGATCACATGTCAAACAAAGAAGGACACAAGCCTTCTTTCAAGGAGGAAGTTCGAGTGTGTTGCCAGCCAGAATGAAGCACTTACGTCTCGTAATTCGGTTACCACGTCTTCTTTCCGACCTAGGTCAATCACATCATATAATTCTCATTATTGTGTGACAGTGGTCTATATGGTATGTGGTGGCCTCGTTGTTTAAACTTTTGCTGAACACACTTGTTCTATTCCCACCAGGGTACAATGAGTGAAGACCATTTCTGCTGCCCCCGATATAGATGGAAAATGCCGAAAACTGCTTAAAACCACATTAACGCACTCACTCACTCACTCACTCACTACAAAATAAAGACACAATCCCATGAAAGTTATTTCTCATTTTAAATAATAGTGAGTGAGTGAGTTTAGTTTTACGCCGCACTCAGCAACACTCCAGCTATATGGCGGCGGTCTGTAAATAATCGAGTCCGGCCCAGACAATCCAGTGATCAACAGCATAAGCATCGATCTGCGCAAGTGGCAACCGATGACATGTGTCAACCAAGTCAGCGACCCTACCATCCGATCCCGTTAGTCGCCTCTTACGACAAGCATGGGTTACTGAAGATCAATATTCTAACCCGGACCTTCACGGGTCCATTTTAGATAACAAAGGCAAACCTAACGATTTTTTAACTTCTTTGAGAGGCATTTAGAAGTGGGAGCAGTAAGGAAGGATAACAATATATGGATGAACAACTTCTGCTCTCACAGCAATAAAGAGGTTCTTCATCCATTTATTGTTATCATTCCTTAACGAATATATAACCCTGACATCAAGCATCACTCAGGATTTGGCATGAGTGTCCAACTGACCTAAAAATGTACACTCAAAAATATTTCTTATATGAAACAAAACGTAATTTTAAAATTCGTAAACATCAGCATTTGAAATTATGTACACTCACTTTTCTCACCTACGTTATATTGATCTCAGGTGATGACGTAATTAGGGACAATTTAGGTCTTCTGTCGACTCCCAACGCAAAAGGTATCCATAGTAAAATTAATTGACTTTAAAATAAGTAAATGATACGCAAAACTTGCATTAAATCGATTCGATTCAACCTCATGGAAATTCTAATTATTATTGGTCCATGGTCATTGATTTGCGTCCTTCAGAGCATTAAGCCGGATGGAAACTATAAATAGCTTCAGTGCAAACGTCCTTTCTCTTGTGAATAGGTTAAGTGCGATCTCATTTTCTTTGTAAATGAGCTTAATACAGTCAGCTCTGTGCAATCGCATTTTACTGTACCTACAGCACTTGATCTGGTCTAATAAGGTCCCTTGACGACATGCTTTTATATAATAGCACCAATCACGCCCCATTGCAAGTGACACAAGCCACGGTGTGTTTATTATGGGAAAAGAATTTTCCGGAAGTGCGAAAGATGTTTTACTCGTGATATTTGTATTGTTTGGGCTCTGTAACTTAAAGGTAAACACATTACATTAAAAATGTGCAAGATAAATAGCTCTTTTTCGTGTGAACTTGTGGTTTAACATTCGTCTGAGTCTCTGACGTCAATGGTCACTTCAACAATGGCCCGCTGCCCCATATAGTCCTGAGACAGTTGCCGCCAGCCCCCGTAGAATGTCATCGGGAGAAGCTGCAGGTCCCGGGGGTCCTACAAAAGGACACGGGGAACATGTACCACGGGGAACATGAACAATACCAAACATTAACAACGGGGATTATTTTTGTTTATGTCAAGACTTCTTGGCCACCTTACAGACATGCTACTGGCCTGTACAGCAAACGGGTCAAGCTTTCTAAAAGATTTTGTAACAAACGTCGAATCGTTTGATGATGTAGAGTATCAAGTCAAGTTTTTTAAATCGTGTTGTCGTAAATTCGTTGTCCATGAGGGTGTTACGGATGTAGTAAGTATTCCAACCAAGAACACCCTCTCCATAATATTTACAACACCAATAGCAATATGTTCAAAATACAAAAAGAAGGAAAAGTAACATAATAACGTATTTATAATTAGACGCGGCTATAAGTATTTCTTATGATAAATTGCCAACTGAACAAAATTGAATATACTTTGATATTCATTTAAAATAAATCTTTATCGGGATGTAAAATTGTTCGTCATCAATCCAGCAGAGATCATTCACTTTAGGGTGAATGTGTGAGCGAGGTGGCTTCTAGGGGGACAGGTGCGCTCCACAGCACTGGTTACAGCAATGGTTTAATCCACGAACTCGATAACTGTGCTCAAGGATCATAATCGGTACGAATCTGGTTGAAATCCTTGCACAATCTGGAGTGAATACACGCTACTGTCGACCATCGTCAATAATCTACTTTATCTCACTACCGCATGTAAATAGTCGAGGACCAGGATTTGGACGAGGCAAATATGTGCAACGATCCCCAACACCTGGATACAATTAAACTCAATTAGGTATGACTGTGCCGGACAATCCTGTTGCCATGTTTGTTTACTGTTACCAGCAGGAGATACACGAGCCTGTCCCAGGGAGATGTGTCGACAAGGACAGACCACCAAAAAGGTGTACAGAAACTAATTAAGTAGACAGATCAATACCAACCCATATATATATATTCATGCATTACACATCCTAACTCATCGTCATCTTCGAAGGATTATTTTGAAATGCCAATACTCAACCCTTCTCGTTCAATACTATACTAATCACCTTTGTGATCGTATCACTTTTGTTGTTTGCTTAAGTACATATGTATCTATCTTCTTCCTCGCTTCTATTTACTGTTTCTCATATACAGTTGACACCCATAGATTTTACATGATGTGTTGTGTGAAGCCTATTTCTGGTGTTCCCCGCTGGAATATTGCTAAAAGCGGCGTAAAACCAAACTCACTCACTCACTCACATGATGTGTATTACTTCCATATGCCATTCAAAGACACATTCCTTCTGCTTTGTTTTGTTTGTTTTTTAACGTGAGAACTCAGCATCTATCAGGTCTATGGCGGTCAATTGGGATACGATGACATATGGCAACCAAGTCAGTGAGCCTGACCACCGATCCCGTTAGTCACCTCATACGTTGCTGAAGGTTAATTCTAACCCGGATCTTCACGGTGCAATCCTAATGCAATTGCAAAATACGCGTCATATTGAGAGTGTGTTGGGGTCAAGCATAGAACTTGTGGAAAAGCCAGCTTGTAAAGGAGTACACCGTCAGTCACCTTGATGCCTGAGTATCCTCTTGGTCCCAGCCACAGGCTTTGTCCCACTCACACTGAAGTATTGACAAACTATATATATGACTCGAAAACTGCTCACTGCGGGGACAAATAACATTGACATTCCCAGAAGCTGCAGTCATGTCAATAAGGTATGTGAACATTGGTGTTTGCAGAACATATCCGGGACATTATTTACACATGTATACAAAGGAAACAAACCATCTTGAAGACTTAAAATGTAGGCCATGTTTGCGCCCTACTAAAATCTGAACGAAACGAAAACATTAGACTTCACAACACATTAAAAGCAGAGCACACATTACAAGTGAAATAGCCTTGACAGGCACTCAACATTTCTATAGAGACGGCACTGGTTCAACAGCAGGTGCT